TAAGATGTAATATCTCAGACATGGAAGTTCATAGATGATATGTTTAACTATTAACTGGTTATCATGATGACGTGACATATGACATGTSATAAAACCTATTACTATTTGATGGTATCGACATAGATGTGGACTTATTTTTATTTAAAAAATTTGTTTTAACTTTTTGAGTAAATTACAAATTTTATCCTTGTGGTTTGGTGAGATTTTGGATTAGGTCCCTTAAATAAAATAATTACAAAGATGGTCACTGTGGTTTTATTTTTATTACAAATCAGGTCCCTCATTTAATGCCCGTTTAAAATCTCCGTTAACTTAGAGACATTTTCATGTTTTCCTTGTGTTATGAAAGCTTTACTTGCTTCAAGGCCTGTTTTATCAATTTCTAATACTCAAGAAACTTCTCACTCTCCAATCTCATTCCACATTACCATGAACAAAAACAAACCCACCAAAGGGCCTTTGGCCTAGCGGTACCGCAGCCCTTGGCTTTCTAGGAGGTCAGGGGTTCAAACCTCACCATAGGTGAGGAGAGTGTGTGAGTTTATTTGTTGCATTTGCCGTATATAAATATTATATACTTTAAAAAAAAACAAAACAAAAACAAACCCAAAAAAATCAAAAGCTTGATCCAAAATTAAACAACAACACGAACTCACTTTTAGAAACAAAATCAAAGATGAACCGAATCCAGATCTTGTGTTGATCTGGTGTTATCCACTTTCTTCACTGCCTTATCTTCTTTTATTCGCATTCCAATGCGACTTTTACGAGCCGAGAAGCCATTTATTTTACCAGACCATCGATCGGAGTTTGAAGCTCGATCAAGAAAGTCGGTTGAAAAGTGGAGTTTTTCCTGGAACGCGAAATAAACATAGCCTTGCAAACCCATTTCGATCAGGAAAGTCAGTTGGGAAGTGTCAGATCCAAATAAACCTTGGTCAGAGAGGTTGGGTTTGCGATAAGAGTGGTTTTAGGACAAGAATCGAAGGATGGTGATAGTGGGGATTCTTGTTCTTTTTCTTCATTGCTGACTTTATTTGGCCGTACGTGTTGCTGATTTTATTATTCAAAAATGGGTTTGTATTGTTATATTTTTCTCAAAAAATGGTTTGTGTTGATTTTGTTTTTTCAATTATTTTTTCTAGGTTTGAATCTTTGATCTGTTTAATTTTGGATGTGGTTATTGACTTGTTGGGTTTGTTTTTGTTCATGATAACCTCGAAAGAGATTAGAGAGAAAAAAAGTTTCTTGAGTTTTAGAAATTGAAACCTAAGATGTAAAGTTTTAAACATTTAAGTACCCGGGTAACCAGTTGAAGCATTAACCGGTTATCATACTGATGTGGCGAGTGATGTGAGATCCAACTCAGTATTATTTGCTAACATGGTTACTGACATAGATTTTTTTTAAATTTAAAATTAGTTTTCAACCGGTTATTCAGGTACTTAAATGTTTAAAACTTTACATCTTAAATACCAAAATGAAAGTTTTAAAAATACGTTATCCGAAATAGGAATCAAATTAAAATACGTTACTTTTTCATGCAATTTGCAAAAAAAAAAAAAACCAATAAAAAGTTAAAAACAAAAAATTGGTAGTGCTTGGGAATTTTTGTTTATTCCTTTTCCCAGAACCTAAATGCAAAAAGAAATTCTAATAAAAAAATCCATATCATTGTCCATGTTATCATAATAAATTATATAACATGTCATCAGTCACACTANGTTGGGAGATGGATTATAGATGCAACGAAGGGAGGATATTTTTTTTATCATTTGAGGACTTGATAAGGGTTTTGAGGCTTTTGTTGGTTCAATTTCGGGAGATGACATTCAAGAATTCTAAGAACACATTTGTTTTGTTAGGTGTCTGCACTTACTTTCTTTTATGGTTTTTAGTTGAATGATTAGAGTTGTGTTCTGCACCATTGATTTGTATCTGCCTCCTTAACCCAAAGTGACACTTTTCTATCACTTTAAGGCAATAGTTTAGCTGTCTTCTGAACAAAAATCAGCATAAGCTAATTGGGGAAAGGGTAATTCTTTGAACACTTCAACTCATCAATTTGACAATTTTATTTCAACTGTGGTTTGTTGCAACTTGCACACATATACTGGGTCCATATATAAGTATGCTTCTTATACCATGATAGTCAACTATCTTCTTTCAATCAGAAGATGATAAAGGTGTCTTCATTCTCCAGAATTGGAAGATATTCTTCATGCACATCTTTTCATTAGTCCTCCACTAAACCATGTATGATAATAAAAAACTATAAATAAGGAGCACTAAGGGAAATGCTTACAGTGAACAATAAGATCCTCAGGATAGGTCTTCAAGAACTGTTTTGCGGCATATCTCTAATTATGAGCACTGCAAGAAGAAAAAGAATTTAGTCACRTCATTACGCATATAGGAACCACATTGTTATAATGAACTGTTTTGCGGCATATCTCTAAACCATACCCCAAGAAAGCCCCTTCCAAGATTGATATACAATCAACCACAAGCAGCAATGGGTGTTAGGGAACAAGCTGTTTTGAAACAATCTGTTTTGGAAACAATCTGCTCGAAATTAGAATCTTTCTGCATGTTGTTACCTGCAATTTGAAACAATCTGTTTTGGACATATTTTCCCATTCCCATTCAGACTTCAGACGTAAAAACAAACAGTCTGACTGATTCAGATTTCAGACTTCAGCACCACCTCTTAAAATTCAGAAGTGAATTCAGACTTCAGACTTCAGCACTTCTTAAAAAACAAACGCCACCTAAGAGACTCTCATGATATAGTGTAAAAGAAAATATAATTGTTTGGTAATTGTTTATAATGAAATTATGGCGTTTAATGGTTAAAAGAGACTCATGATACAAAAGTATTCAGATAATTTTAAAACCATTAAGTGACAAACTTTTTTTTTGTCAAACAAGATTCATTTCTTAATGATTCAGAAGTTGCATCTTAATGAAACTATTAAGAGTTAAACAAACAACCCCTAATCATTCAAAATGGAATTTTTTGTTGGTTTTTTTGAATTTTTTCTTTCGAGTAAATTGCATACTTTGTTTTAATTCCTATTTTAGGTTACATATATTCAAAACTTTCATCTTATCATTTAAGATGTAATATCTCAGACATGGAAGTTCATAGATGATATGTTTAACT